GAGACCGAAAACTTCCCCCGGCCAAGGATCCGCCTGGGCCTGAAGCCAGTTTGCCCCACAAGAATTCTTCCCTCTGGCTCCCTAATGCAGCTGGAGTGCAGCCCTCCCCCTGAGCACCTGCGTGAGTGGATGGGGAGGCTGGGCTAAGGTTAGCCTCCCCACCCCCCTTGTTCCCTGGGATCCAGGGAGGGCTCTTGCAACCGTCGATGGGGCTTCCCAGGTGACGACAGGTGCAGAACACGGATGCGAGGGGGCGGTGGAGGCAAGACCGTGGCCGTGTGCATGGGGGTGACCTGCTTTGAGGTGGCTGCTCTGATGCCGGGGACGTTTCTCTTTCAGCCACCCATGGGAGAGGAAGGTGGTCACAAGCGATTCCCGTCAACGTCAGGAGGAGATGGAAGGAAGCGCTACCCCTCCCAGTCTTCCAGCAAGCCGGTCAGCCAGTCCCCAGCCAGCCAAGCCCATGCCTCGTCCAGCCAGCCTGCGAGAGAGGATGCCAAAAACCTGAGCCACCATGCCCTTGCCACAGCGGCTGTGGAATCTCAAACACTGGGGAAGTAGAGAAGCTGGAGCTTCTGCTTCCTATTGGGGAAGGGGTGGGTTGGTGGGGAATTTGACTGGGGGAGGGGAGAAGTGCGGTGGGGAGGGACAGAAGGGGAGTCGGATCGTGGGTGTCCAAGAATAGGCTGCTGGGGGAAACTTCAACGCACACGACCTCTCTTGTGGCGGGAAAACAAGACGATCGTAATCCAAAAAGGATCCTTTGCTTGCTGACTGGAGCTGGACCCCCTCCGCCCCCACTTTCATGTCTTAGCTTCTTTCTGGGTGGGTTGGGAAGGGGGAGATATTTTTTTTATTATATATATATCAAGTTTTAAATTATTGATAGAAGTTCGTCTGGATTTACCAAAATCACTCTGCGCTACGCAGCCCCCCCCCCCCCCCCCCCCCTCGGACACGCACCCCTTCAGATCAGCTATGCAGCCTGCTCGGAAAGCTACGAGGTTCCGTGTCGAGTCGGCCTGTGGCACCCCGACGTCCCTGACCCGGCTGACTTCACCCATTCCGAATACAAGGATGCGTTTTAAAAACACAAACCCAACCGATACAGAAAGACTTGATTGTATTTGCCCCTCCTCCTGCCAGCTCCATTTCCCTCCACCCAACTCACCCTTCCATCATGGACAATTGGAAGTCAACCAAAGGACCTTGACCAGGCATCGCGATGGGCTCATTCAACCTTTCTGTGCGAGGACAGCGAGGATGGGATCTGCAGGCTCGTGCAGGAACGCTGACCGCACTAGAAGGAGCTTTCTCTTCCTCTCCCTTTGAAAACCACAAAAAAAAACAAAAACACCCTCTACACAGACTGCTCTCCCTTGGCTTTCTTCCTTGAAAATAATTGTTTAAAAAAAAAAAGAAAAAAAATGTTGCCTTATTGTGGAGTGGGAGTTCTGTGACCCGCCTGACTTCCTCACGTGGCCTCGGGGTGTGGCGTCTGCGTGGGACGAGAGCCCTCGGCCAAGCAGCGGGAGCCCCTCCGTAACCGCCTTCCTTTGGGAGACTCCTGCGGGGAACGGCTGGCGATCTCCCGGGCGACCCGGTTGCATTGACACAGACACCGGAGCTGCTTTCTGCAGCCGAGAGGGACGTTGTACAAACTACGCCGGACGATCCCCCCCTTCCCTTGGAGGTGGGCTGTAGAGCCCACTCCAGAGAGGAAGCGGTGCTGACGCAGCTTAATCTAAGACTTAATAGCCGAAGTAGTTGAAGCCGATGTAATGTATATACTGTTGTAGTGTCCTTCCTGCTACAGCAACTGTCCGTGCTATTGCCTCACTCAGACTTACAGGTGCACTGTCATTTTCTCTCCTCTTCCACCAGTCCAACAAGCAGGGGCAGCGCTGGTGGGGTTATCGGTCTGCTGGGAGGGTAGGAGCCTAGCAGGGAAGGGGACAGCCCCAGTGGCCGGATTTCTCACTGCTAAGGGGGGGCGTGGAGCCGAGAGAAACGTGAATGTCCTGGAGCACGTTAATGCTACGGCCCAGCAGCTGAGGAAAGCGGATACCAAGAAACCCATCTTGGACCAGCGCTGACCCAGGGGGCTGGCTGGGTGGGGATGGTCTCAATTCAGACGGCTGCCTGTGAAATGTGGTCACAGCGCGGGTTTCCCTGTTACAGATGGGTGCATTCAGTCCTCCTCTTTCCCCCCGTTAGGGTGCATGGCAGGCACCACACTGCAGCGGTCGCGGAGCCCTGGGTTTTGCTCGCCCGACCACAGCACCACTCGGCGGTGCAGCATGAGACGGCTTCGGGGAGCACGTGCGTTGGGACTCTCCAGAACACAAGCCGCGCCTGGTGGGATTTGGCCGGGGTGGGGAGCAGACGGGGCTGAGATGGCGCGGAAGGAAGTTGTAGCACGCAAGGCAACCTGTGTCCCGGCAACGAGGCAGTGAGGAATTCAGGCTGGAAGGCGGAGGTGAATTCCCTGGGAGGGGAAGGGGTACTTCCCTTGCTGGTAATATGCTCTGCCTCCATGTGCTCACGCACGTGCTTTGCTGGGTTCTGGGCTGTATCTCCTGTGTGTGTTGGCCTTGCAAGCCAGGGAAGGCCTTGCTCGACGGGTATCGAAAAGAATGTCTGCAGATGCTGCTACCTTGGCCCGCTGCTGTCTGGGCAGCGTAGGACACCCTCCCCCCCCCCGGCTCATTGCTGCCTCATCAGCTTTTAGTGCAATGGCATGTCACCTCTGAGCATCCCACTGATTTAGGGCTGCCTCACGTACTAGGCACCGCTCCTGGCAAGGGGGGTGTCTCTAGGGCTTGCATGCTGCTTAGTAGCTGGGAACCCTGCCCTGTACCGACAGGAGGCCCAGCAGTGCTGCGGGGTTGGAGCGCAGCAGTTGAGAGCAAAGCTGGGTGGGTCAGCCAGAGTTTGTCGCCGTTGGGTATCGGCATTGCCAGAGGTGGGTAGCGAGAGGTCCATGTGCTGCTAATGTGCCCTGTCCAGTGAAAGCAATCAGCTTCTCAGAGGTACACTGCATAAAACAGGGGGGGGGGGGGGGGGGGGGGGGGAGGGGAGAGATGCTGGTTGTTTCAGAGCAGCTTTGGGTGACCCTACAGCCGAGCTGCTGCCGGTAGCTTAGAGCCCAGACAAGGGAACTGAGTGGCTGGTACTTGGTGTTCCCTCAGATCAAGATCCTGATATATTCCGCAGCTAAAGCCCGCTAATGATTTAAACACACAGGCCTGCCCCGAGTCCTTGCCTTATTCTGCTGTGTCTGGGATCGCACAGAGTGCCCGGTTGGCCACGAGAGCCCCAACACGCAGGTGCAGCGCGATCGCGTGTCAGCCCTGATTTTCAGCCTTGACTTTGAATTTCCCTAGTCTTGTGAGCTGGAGCCAGACCCTCCCTCTGGCAGGCGTGTTGGGATTTAGATGGGGGTGGTAGGGAAAAGCCAGGAGGGTATTGAGCAGTGACTGCGGAGACACAGCTGTCTTACTGGGGGGCATGGTCTCTTTGTTACCCATTGTTTGCATCTGAACAACTCAAACCAGAAATTAGGAAAAGTGGGCTCGCCTTGAGGAGTGGTTGCTTGTGAAATCAACAGGTTAAAGGAGCCTTTGGATGGCAGAAGTACCCAGGAACGTTCCAGAGAGCTTCAGAGATCCAAACTGATTTGCTGTTCGGTCTTTGTGTTTGTGCGACACCCTCTCCAATTTCAGCCCAGAGCAGTTTGTTTCCCATTTTAGTCAGTGGTTTATCATTTGTCGTCCGTGTGACCGGGGCCTGTCTAGAAAGTCTTCTCTGCAGGAGAAGCTTGCCCAGAAGAGAGAGCCCAGCAGTTGTGCCACAGCCCAGGATTGACATGCCATTGAATTGTAGCAGATTACAATAGGGTCAAGTGGGAGCTGTGTTGGCACATTGCTGTGTGAGGCAGGCCCAGATACCTGGGGGAGGGAGAGGAGACGTGGAAATGAACCTGAGAGAGGTAGCTGCATTGCATCCTGCGTATGGTCCTGCAACAAGGTTCTGTTTCACCCTCTGCTCTAGAGGGAGAGGAGACTTTTGCTGTTTGCTGCCTGCAGTGTACGATGTAGGCCACGTTCCAAAGAGGGGAGGACAATCTAGCGTTGGGTGGCACCAGGAGTACGAGTCTCCAGCACCATTGCTCAGACGAGGGCTGACCCCATAGGGTTCTAGCCTGTCTTCACAGGCACAGAGCCCCACAGCCTGCTTAGTGGGTACCAGGGCTGAGGGGTGACTGAATGCTAGGATTGACCTCAGAGAGGTCTGCCATGCCTCATGGTGCACACGGGATGAGTCTCCGGACGCACCTTCCCAACGCTAAGTGAGACCCACCTCTGCTACGTAGAATATATAGCAAGAGGATTGCATGTGGCCGAACACGCCTCCAAGGCGGGGAGGTGGCTGTTGAAATACCTTTCCCTTCTAGAGAAGAGCAGATGGTCTGACATTTGCATTGGCCTGATTTCCTTCCCCCACCACCACTTTCCCGGGAGGAACTTGATCTCCGTTCTAGTCAGGGATGGTCCATCTTGGCCATCCCACCTCCTTTAAAAAAAAAAAAAAAAAAGTTCTCCCATGTGCTGATCAGTTCTGCTGCGGAGGGAGTCAGAGGCAGCTGTTAATGCAGAGCCAAGTCTGCCCCACGACCCCCAAGTGGGGGTGCAGTTGGCCTTGCCATTTCAGGTGGAAGAAGTGTCTGTTAAATCACGTGCATCTCCTCTCTCGGGCCCTGCACGTCGGATGTCCATCTTGCATACAGGTAGCTGTGGCAGGATCCAAAACACTGTGGTTTAGGGTTTGCACAGAGGTGGGGTTGGTTTGGGGTTTTTTAAAGGAAAACATGTCTAGGTGCTGCTGCTTTGTCTGCTCCTCGTGGCTTGTTTCCCCCTCCCGGTGGTTATCTGTAATTGTTGGATTCTGTCCAGGTTCTGTATTCACTCACTCTGCTTCTGATTGGTTGACTGTACTGTAACAAATGACATATTAACCTCAATACTCTGCCATACTTCTGTACACGTACAATACGACAATGCGGAGGGGAGCCTTTTAGCTGGTAATGCCTTTCTGATCTCTCTTGTTTTTTATCAAGCAAAAACACACACACAAATCTGTCAATGTAGCAAATTGTTTGCAATGCTCTGTATCCTGTGTGTGTCTCTTCTCCGAGACTTTGGGTCGTCCGCTCGCTTTCTTTTGGAATCAACGTTAGGCTCTTACTAAGGAGAGGGTTGCTACACTTGATGTTAAATGCCTCACTGACTTTTTAGTTTTAATTTCCAATTCCTATAATCATTGAGGGGAGTGTTTGTTTTTTTGGAAAACAGTTTCATCTCTGATGTGGATTGGGTGGAGTGACTTTAAAAAAAAAATTCTAGGGGTAACGTTTCAAAGAATCGTTTACATCTTCACTTTCTGAAGACACTTGAACATAGGACCGACGTATCTGTGACGAGCACACCCTATTGTTGGAAGCTCTCTGAGCGGGAAAGGGCATGGGCTTAAACCTATCCAGTTTGGTTTTTATAGACACTTTCATGTCGAAAGTCAGATGTATTTCAACTAACACCCCAACCCCTCCTCTTTATTCCTCAGTGGTACATGCCCGCTTCTCATCACCTCCAGAATATCAGTCGTGTACAATAGGTTGGCTTGTACCAATGATATCCCTGGGAGAGGGGGGCTTGGTATCGTTTCATCCATTGGAGTCTTCCTGGCATAGTGTTGTGTGCCTGTGGGAAAGGATGGCCGAACTCTCCTCCCTTTCCAGCCCCAGCCTCGGTTGGTCCCTGCGGCATGTACTTTCACCGACTCGGAAATTGACACTGAGCTTTAACTGGAAGTGGTTGGAGCAGGGAGGGTTTTCCAGTGTCTGGTCTCACTCTGAACTGCTCAAAGCTGTGTGGATAACCTGCTTTTCAATAAAGAGCCAGTGTTTTTGTCTAGATGCCCAATTACTCAGCCAGAACAAAGGGGGATATTAGTTTGATCTGGCTGCCCATCCCAACCTCATCCCCATCTACTCCCAAAAACAAAAGAGAAAAAGTGTTTTGCAACCTTCTTCAGCTACGTTTAATTGTAGAGACAAATTTAAAATGACTTATCAGACCACTCATCACGGGGGAGGAAAATCTTGTTAATACGACCCACTCTGTGATCCATCTTCTGTTGATAGTACATAATGACTTGTGTGCTAGGATCATCATCCCATTTAAAAGGAAAAAAACAACCACAACAACAAAAAATGTAAAATACTTGAACGAGAGCTTGTATTATAACATTAATATTATTCAGAGTATCTGCTTTCTAGGCTGATGTGATTCATTATTCTAGTAATGCTTTAGTCCTTTGTAATTTGTGGTAATTATGCTTTTTCCTTTTTAATACAAAAAAATGTATAAAAATAAAAACCTCAAAAGACAGTGTGGTATGGACTCTCCTGTCCCTGCAACCTTCCTTACTCTCTTCTCGGTCGTGCTCTGGGGTCTAAGGGTCTGAGCGACAGATGAGACACGTCTCATGTGGAATCAATACTCGTGAAGATGAGAGACTGATGGCACCTGATCAGTACACTGCAGCTAGGCGCTATACAAGCTCTCAGCAGAAGAGCTCTTGCAGGACTGCTTAGTCTCAATCCAGTGCACTCTTCCCTTGCTCGTTCCAGCCCCGGGCCCCCATACTGCTCTGCTAACACACCTCAGTTCTGACTTTCAGCTCTCGGTGCGCCATGTGATACTTTCAGTTGTGTCTAATTGTGTAGTGGTTTTCTGACTGGGAGACCATTTTCTTTAAGGGTTTTGCAGCACTCCCTACTAAACAGCTCAGGAGAACAGTGGTGGTGGGGAGCTCTTCCATCGCGTATAACTTTATGAAATCCTAGGGGTTTCCCTCTGTCTGCTTTGCTGTGTTGGAAGTGAGGTGAGTCTCGGTGGGATGGAGCAGTCTGCCCATACTGGCTGTGCTAATGAGACTTCAGCTCCAGAGCCTCCCTCCTGGAAAGTTCCCTTAGTGACCTGCATTTTGGTTTCACCTGCCGTATTAATTGTTAAAACAATAAAACCTACTCAGTGCTCCCAGTAATGTAGCACAGTACCATGTGGGGGTAGCTTCTGCCTGACCCTCACTGGTGATCAGTGATGGTTTAAAGCTTGAAGCCCTTATGTCATAGGTATGGGGAATAATTGTACTGTGGGAAGTTGAGCTCTCAGGGCTGATGGTGCTGGCAAAGTGGTTACGAAGGGCCACGTTGCCTCAACAGGCATGTTTCCATGGGGTGTTCAGGTTGATTCTCCCAGGCCCAGAGTGCTGGGATGAGATTGGGCCAGGCTGAATGTCTGGAGCGCAGTGCTCTTGAATTCCCCTGCGACTCCCCATGCAGCACAGGTGAGATGTCCTGGGCCCCAAAGCCTCCAGCAGGAAATGGGAGATCTAAACAGCAGCCAATTCTGTGGGCTGGAAGGGAACCTGCGTGGGGCAGTTTGTGGGCAGCTTGATCCAGGGGACTAAGAAAACCCTACGCTCACTTCAGGAGGCCCCCCAGCTGTAGGGCTGCTGCTTGGAGCTCAGCTTTGCGCTCCGGGCTGGTGGGGGCCGAAGGGAAGCGAGTGCAAATCTCCCCAGCAACAGGTTACAGTTCCACTTTGTCTTTGATACTTAGGATGAACAATAACCTGCTTCTTATTAGAAAATTATTTGGCAGAATCATCGTTCCAAGCTCTCGTGAGTCCCCCTGTTGTGAGCGTGCCGCAAGCCGCGGAGGAGGCGGGTTCACTTGGCTTTCTTGGGCGAGTCGGGAATGGTCTCCGTGAGAGGGGTGAGGCTCAGCAGGATGACGTGCCTCTCGTAGGCCTTGGTTTGCTTGAAGAGCGTGTCCGTTCCATGCAGGCGGTCCAGCACCCCCAGGACTCCATAGCACTGATTGAACCTGGCAGACAAGCAGAAAGGGACCACACGGTACTGGGGGTTACAGGTGAGAAACAAGGTAGGCCATGCAGATCTCTTCCCTCTCACCCCCTCCCATAGCCTGTGTCCCTATCAGAGCCCTGCCAATCCTGCTTTACTTTTTGTCTCTCCCAGCCTTTGCTTTGCAGCCTGCGCAGGACTGGATGGGGTTTAGCCCAGAACCTGCCCGTTTTGCTACATAGTCATCTAGGAGAGGTGTTGAGCCAGGGGGTGTTCTCCATCCCCAGGCACTGCGGGCTGCCTTTGCAGCCATCACCAGCCAGGGAGCAGGAGAGTGGGACTCTACGCCAGACAGCCACAACTCCAAGGCACATGAGCTCCTGAGGCCGCAGGAAGACCAGACGGGCTGTACACACGCCTATGGCCAAGGAAGCTATGAGTTGGCCCTACAGCATTGCTCAACGCCATAGGTTCTGATGTCCCTGGTGATCTGTGCTCCTGGCATACAGCATGATCAGTGTCATGGAGAGGTGGGGGGTGATACGCACTCGCTGATACATCAGGTATCCCCCCGTCCTTAGGCCGGAACTGAACTGTCGTCCCTGTTCCTGCAGGAAAGGGGAAGCGATGCTAGCCAGGGAGCATGGCCAGGGATCAGAGCACAGCCCTGGGAACCAGGACCTCCCTCGGAACCCTGCCTGCAGGCCTGACACTGCTTTGCTGTGTGACCTTTGTAAAAAGGTACTAGTACTTCACCTCCGCTGGGGGGGTTTAACGATCATGTGTGCGCACAGCACTTTGACTAGGCGAAGCCTGGTTCCTGCTGTATCAGGCTTTTCAGCTGTGGGAATGTCTGGTTTTTCCATTGCTGTCTTTGGACAGAGAAGGAATTAAGTAGCCAGAAGGATGCTCCACAAAGCATTGTCCTTGATGCCCTAGCCCAGGGGTCGGCAACCTTTCAGAAGTGCTGTGCCGAGTCTTCATTTATTCACTCTCATTTAAGGTTTCACGTGCCAGTCATACATTTTAACATTTTTAGAAGCTCTCTCTCTATATAAGTCTATAATATAGAACTAAACTAATGTTGTATGTAAAGTAAATAAGGTTTTTAAAATGTTTAAGAAGCTTCATTTAAAATGAAATTAAAATGCAGAGCCCCCCGGACCGGTGGCCAGGACCCGGGCAGTGTGAGTGCCACTGCAAATCAGCTCGCATGCCGCCTTCGGTGCCATAGGTTGCCTACCCCTGCCCTAGATCACTGCTAGGAAAGCCCAGGCGATGCCTACTTCTCTGGAACCGACACATTATTTCCTCTGTCTAATCCACCCAAGAAACCTAAGCTCAGATTCAGCCTTTGGTTTTCTGCTTTGTAGCCGGTTTTCCAGCTCAGCTGACGGCGAAACAGAAAGGAAAAAGTCAGTCATTTGTCTGAGGGTTGCATGGTATGTCAGTGGCTGCCTGAGGCCTGGTCCTCTGCTCTGACCTCTCTGTGCTTCCTGTTCACTGAGGGTGAGGATGCTGGACACATTCAAGCTGCCTTCAGGTGAGCTAGACTGAGGTGGGGCAGATTGACTAGTAGTCATTGTGAGACTGGTCCTCACAAATGGGCTACGTCCCGTCTCTGCCACTGATGGGGTGACCCAGCCTACAGAGCACGGGGGGAGGGGCAGCTGTACGGATAGTGTCCAATGACCTTACTTGAGGTGGTGGAAGTCGTGGAATTCCGGCGAGGGGAGGAAAGGCAGGTGGTAGCCGCAGTGCGAGATGGATGTAGCCAGAATAGCAAGGCAGAGCCACACCATGATGGAGGCAACATGGGATCCCAGGATTATCGGACCCACCAGCAAAGGCAACATGTTGGAAAACTGGAATTCAGACACAAGCCCTGTCTCATTAGCATGCACACCCAAACCTTCTGTTCAAAAGGCCGCAACTGGCGTCTCCTCTTGTTGCTTGTATTACGGGAGCCCCTAGACCCCGGTGCTGCTGATGCTGAACGTGGCACTTGGTTGAAGTGGAATAGTGGGAGTCGAGCATCTCGTGGAGGTGTGATATCAAGTTAGCTAGTGCTGCCGTGGGAGACTCATCGCAGGGTCACTGGGAGTGTTCTGCCAATGCACCTAAGAGACTGGGATAAAGGAGGTGACCGAGGCCAACTCCCACTGTAACTCAAGTTGCTTTAACATCTCAACTCCCTCTCTCAGGTTTCACTGCTTACCGCCTGGCACGTGTGTCTGGCTGGGACAGTTCATGATGAAGCAGCCCAGCATTGGTCACCTGGACCTTTCCTAGGCTATGCAGCAAGATCTTCCACCAGATCTGCCACCTCAAGGAGGCCCCATTCCATCATGCTCAAACCTGCTGGAGGCCCCGGCTCCCAAAAGGTTTGTCTGACAGTAGATTGACCCTGTCTTACCTGGCTCTACCCTACGAGTTTGCAGTCCCAGTGCAAAGAGCCACCAGACACTTCTACTACAGCAGCTTTTTGGAGACGCCACAAACTCCAGCTTCATCTCCCACCAGGAAGGGTCTGAAGTGTAGCTACTCTCTTCCCTACCCACAAATCCTCACCCAGTGGAAATGCAAAGCCCACAGCCATGGGTTGGGTTTACTTGATAGGCTGCTGGGCAGTGACCCCCAAGAGTGCCCGCTTACCACGTGCTCGACCGGATGAGCATAGAGGGAGACCACACCAACGGGGGCTGTCCATTCATGGTGCTTCTTGTGTATGCGTTTGTACAGAAGCGGGTGATGAACAAGCCTGCATGGAGAGAACCAGAATGAAGTCCTCAAGTCCAGTCAACCCTGAGACCAATGTCAGTCTGGGTGCATCCTCAATACTTTTCTAACGTATAGATTTCTAGAGCAGCCAAGAGGCCTAGTGAATTAAAGACCGGGGCTAGCCGTCCGGACTCATGAGTCAAGGCAGAACCAGAAATAGAACTCAGGTGTCCTTGGGCAATTCACCTGGCCTGTGTGTATTCCCACAATCGCTTTGTTTGCTGTTAAACTGCCCCCCCCCCCCTCTCTCTCTCTTTATGAGGTGGGTTGTTTGTTTGTTTTTCTTTGACTTTACTCTGCATCTGTTTTGGGGGGTTTTTGTGTAGTGGTAGCGCTCAGGAGGTCTGGAGAGTCGGTAGCGGGGCCCCATTGTGCCAGGCGCTGTACATGTGTATAGGAGGTCATGGTCCTTGACCAGGGAGCTCACAATCTTTTTGGTCTACATATACACAATTCTCTCTCTCTCTCTCTCTCTCTCTCTCGATTTTCTTTGGCTGGTGTATAGCTCCTCCTATAAGCAATAGTTACAGCCTCCTCCCCCAGCTTGGGTGAAGTGCTTTAGATTATAGCTTGCATATAAAATCAACTTGTCTTTTCCCTCCCTTAGCCTGTGGGCCAGTCCATGTCAATCCTCTCACTTTCATAATCTCTGGTTAAACGTGGCCCCTGGTAGCATTATACCACCAAGAGCTCCCAAAGGAAAGGCAGGTGCCACTGACTGGCCAAGGTCAGTGGAGGTGTTTTGGTTGAGGGCACAATCGTAATTCAGGACAGAGTGGTTCACATTCCTTAGGGAGCTTAAAGGAGGAAGAAGCAGCGGCAGGACAGACTAGTTCTCTTGCCCAGCTCACCGGTGTGAATAGTAGAAGAGAATTTCCTCCACCAGGATAAAGATGGACAGCTCCAGGAGGAACCAGTGAAAGGTGGGTAGTTCCTTGCTGCAGGGCTGTCCCCGCCACTTCATGATGGGGAGCATGAGCATCATCATTGGGAGAGAGACGAAAAGCTGATTGAGCAGCACTGTGTGCACAGCCTGCCGCAGCTTCGCTGGGTCCACCTGCAAGAGAGGAGACTCCGCTCAGGCTAACCATGGAGCCATGCAGCTCTGGGGAGAGGGAACCTATTTTTGGACCAAGTTTCACAGGTAGGCAAATAAACAAGAAGCTGATCTGCCTACAGTTCAGCGCCCTCATTCTTTGTGTCACTGGCCGCCTAGTGCCTGGCTCTGCTGTGGGCAAAGCACAGAACTGGAGGTTGGGGGGCGAGAAGTAGGATTGACGGAAACACACTTTCGGTACCAAGCAGCGGATCAGCCTTTGCTGTCTGAGCAGGATACTTCCCCCTGGCAGCCTGAACAGCTCCAAGGCTGGAGTTAAAAGTGAGCACATCTCCTGTGCTTGTGGCTCAGCATGGCCACGCTGATGTAAGGCTTTGTCTTCACTGCAAAAAAGGTGGGTGTGTTCGAGCGAGACGGCAATCTCTCTGTAAAGACACCGTTCGGCAGTGGCAGATACTGACTCTTGTCAGCCCCCGGGTGCGCTGCTCCACCTTGCTTCAAGGAGGAGCAATAAAAAAGCCCGGTGCCCTTGTGAATCCCCAATTGAATGGTCTCCCTCCAGCTTTCCCTGTGACTTCCTGCTCTGCTTGCTCCCCCGGGACAAACAGCTGAAGGGCTGTGGCTGAAATTTTCCTTTCTAGAATCTTCATCTTTAATCAAGACCTGAGTGTACAATTTGATGTCATTTGCCAGGGCCAGGAGTCCGAGTCTGGTGCTACAGGAATACGTCTCCGCTCGCCTGCACGTTCTTTAACCTGCAGCCCCGTGGCTCTAGGAAAGGGGTAGAACCCTTCCCTGCCTCTGGTGGTGGTTTCTCTGATGACTTAGACCCCGTGCCCTGTTGATCACTGTGGCCAGGGCGTGTGCACAGTGCGGTTATGCAGCCGTGGGACTGTGAATTGCTTTAAAGTGCTGCCTAACTACACTCCACCAATTGAAATGCCATTGGAAGAACTCTTTAGCCCACACAGTTATGAAGAAACCTTCCAAATGTGATACGAATAGCAGCCAGCTGTTGTCTGCCTGGACCTGGCAGTGACCCGAGGTATGAAACGTGTCCCATTTACCAAACTGGGGTGTTAACGCTGAAGTCTGACAGCATAAGCTTATTAACTGCTGTTTGGTTTAGCAATCAACTCACGCTGATGTATGTGTTTGCCTTTTTTGCATGTAGTGAAGAATACTGGGCCATTGGTGCAACTGATTGCTGTCAAAGGTAGGGGGGAAGGAGGAGTTAGTTAGTTAGCCATGGTCTATGCTTAAAATTTATACCACAACTGTGAAGGTTTAAATGGGGTGGGGGCAGGACAAAACCCCTAGTGTAGACTTAGCTTCTGGTGCCTTAGCTCATGGTTTTGGACGAGATAGTGCAGGCTGCGTCTACGCTGGGGGGGGTAGGCCAACAGAGCTATGCTGCCGTGGGCTCTGTAGTGTAGACGTAGGTTTAGGCCGTCTACATTCTATGGAGACTATACCAGCGTAGCAACACCAGCATAACTCCGTCGTGTAGCTGTAGGCTGTGCTGATGGGAAGGGGTGTTTCTAATGGGGTAGGAACACAGCCTTGCCAAGCGACTTTGTCCATATGGACAGAAGCATTCTTCTGTTACCCCAGCTATGTTGACAGTGGGGGCTAGGTCACCCTAGTGACGTCTGTCAGGGGGTGGGTTTTTCACACCCCTGACTGCAGCTATGTTGACTTAGCTACAGTACTCAGGGATGTGAAGTTATGTGGCCCCAACCCCCACTGTCCATGCAGCTAGGTTGAGGGAAGAGTGTTTCTGTCTACCTAGGTACTGCTCCTCAGGGAGGTGGGTTACCTACATCAACAGAAAAACCCCTCCCATCGCTGGAGGAAGCATATCTGCTACAGTTCATGCTTCCAAATGCCTCTTGGAGCACATGCAGGCGTGTGGCTATAGCCTGAGGTTCAAGCACTTGCAGGGGAGTTGGGAGACCCAGGATCCAGTCCCGCTGTTCCAATGACTTGTTGTTTAGACAGAGTGCAACAGCAGGCACCGTGGGGCTTAGCCCCACATTCCTCTTGCTGGCATGTCCCATTGGCTAGCTTAGGCAGCCCCCCTTCGCCCACCCCCAGCTAGCCTTTGTGGATTGCAGTCTAAGGTGCCTCTCTTCCCCAGGACGTTAAGTGCCTAACTCAGGCTTGGGGAATCATGGTGACTTTTCTCCGCATGTAGCTAGTGCTTGGGGGCACTGAGGCCTAAAGGATTTGCCCAAGGGTGTCTGAACTGGGAACTGACCGCAGATGGCCTGTGTCCCAAGCCTTGCCCTAACCACAGAACCATCTGTCCCCTCTACATTTTCATGCCCTGTAGAATTCTTGCCTTGATTTTACTTGGCCAGCCCCCAGTATGGAAGAGCAGGAGGTTGCGGGGGGAAGGAGACTGACAGCTCCCCCTCCCCTCTTACTCTAAGAAAATGCAGGCGGTATTTGTCCAGCTCAGCAGGCACAGTGAAAAATACCTACAGGGTCGTTTTTGCCCAACTGAATGCGGTAACGGGTGATGAAAGTTGGCTTTCCGGTCACATCTGTCACCATCAGGAGTCCGTTGAAGCACCAGTAAACAAGGCTCGGAACTAAGGCTGTGCCTGTGGTAGAGGGGGAGAGAGGTGGGCAGAGACTGCTGAAGCAAGGGGAGCCTTTGTCCATCAGAAATGATTGATATTGCAGTGGTGCCTGGGCCCTGCTGGGCTAGGCCCTGTACAGAAATGAGTCTCCGAGCATAAGGGTTTCAGAGCAAAGACACCGCTCCTGAATGGGATGAAAGGGCAGGAGAGGAGTGGGGATGAGATTACAATAATACAGGCATGCTCTCAGGCACCTTGTCCCCTGCCACCAAGTCGTTATCACCAGGCTGTGTTCTGTAGACATTACCCCAGGAGGAAACCTGGCTGCAATACAGGTACCACCACTGCTAGAATATGACTAAGGGGTGTAGCCTTATCTTCTGTCCTTTTGGCAAGAACAACTCCGATGAGACCTGGGGTGTAATTTCACTTTAGCCCAACGAGGGAGGTGGGAACCTTGCATAGGCCCTGGATGGTTTGGTGGTTACAAATACTGGCAGTGGAAAGGGTGGTCCCAAAATGTTGGCTGGACCCTGACCATGGGAGAGGCATGGCAGGGATTTGGAGGCAATGCACGCTTTTGGTACACAGAGCTCTGGGAGAGCTGGCATCCGGCTTTCCCGCAGCCGAGCTTTGGCATTCAAAACAACTCACCTAGAAAGAAAATTGCCCATTCGTTTCCTCCAAGCAGGTGGAGCACTTTCTCCCATTGGGCCTGCCAGAAATCGCCCGAAGCCCCCCAGAACTTCTGCAAGTGCCTGGGGAGAAGGGCCCAAGAATTACATCCAGGGTTTAGCTTTTCATTGCAAAAATCACGTCCGTCTCATCTCCCCGCCCACTGAAATGTTGCTTCTCAAACTATCGGTCTTACCAGGTGACAGAGTTCCTGAAGGCAGCAAACAGCAGCAGGCTAGTGCCCAGTATGAGGCCAGTTGTCTTCATGGAGTCCCAGAGCTTCCCCTCCTGAGAGCAGGAAACAAGCGATTACACCTAGGTCACGGAGTAGCCTGTGTTTTAAATCACAGGCGATCAAGGGACAATCCAGTCCTAGGATCCCTTGTTTTCTGTTGCCAGCACTCTACAGAACAGAGTGGAGCTAAGTTGTTCTCCACCCTGTCAACAGATGCTAGGAGTGTGGGGATGAGACTCTGAATCTATGTTACAGTGTGTATCGGTGTGGTAAAAGAAATACACGTTTAAACTGGATCCAGATAGCAATCGGTCTGTGATTTCCTCCCTTCTCTTGTGTAACAGGTCATTATGATGAACAGATAAAAGAGCTCAAAACAGCAACGCATTCATTAGGCTTGCGTAATTAAATAACATTAGTTGCCCTACTCGTCTCATCTCTTAGCAATGCTACAGGACAGGCAACAACAAGAGAAGTTTAATCCCTTACAACAGGCTGAATGGGTGGTATAAGGCAACAGCCCTGAGTCCCCCTTCCTCAGCAGCCTTCAGTGCTATGCCCTTGGCTATCTCTCCAATGCTCCTGCTCCAGGATGCTTAGGAAACGATTATTTGGAATGGGAAAGGATTTAGGTCATTTGCCCTGAAGACTCGCTAGTGAAGTGGTGTTAGCCCTTTTGGGTCCAAGGGGCTAGTTGAAGTGTGAGGCAGTGTAGGTGGTTGCGGCTGGGAGAACTTGATGATTACACCTGGTATTTTCTTTGACACCATCTTGTTTAGTTGCCTGGAATCTACAGCATGCTGCTGCTGCGAACGGAGAAGGAACCAAGAACAACAGGAGCAGTTTCTTTGCCTACAGGCCTAAGCTTCTCTAGGCTACAGGCAGGGCTACACTTTATGCTTGGCTTTCTTGCAGTCTGCCTTACTCTGAGTCTCTGGTGCTTCTCTGCACCCTATTTTTTTTCCCTACCCACCCACCGGAACCCTCCATTCGCAGGGTGCTAATTTCTGGGCAGACTCCATTATGCCTTGGTTTAGGTGTGGCCCTTAACTCTCCGTATGCTGTATCTTAAAATGAAGGGAGCAGTCACCCCCATCAATTTCAATGAGGTTTTAACTAACCCATACTAAGGTTTAATTCAGCTCATAACCGTCTCAAACTAGACCCATCAGCCTGTTCTTGGGGGCTTAGGAGAAGACCCTTTAAAGAAGTCCTGCTGTGAGTTTTCCAAATTTCAGAACCCTACGATCTTGTATCAAACATCAATGCACGTGGCTCTCAGCATTACCACTCCGTTGTCCTTAACTATAGCAAAGTAGAGGTTGGTGGAACAGCCACTGTTGGATCTGGATTAGGTTTACTCAAGGTTGTGGGTTTGAGGCAACGGGGTCAGATTTTGAGCTCTCAGCATGTTTGTTTAGTAACTCCATTAATTCCAGTGGTGCATCACCCTGCATACACATGTGTGAGAGCAGTTGGTGAGGGCTACATTCTGCAGCATCACCCCCATCCTAGTTCACACTACACCTGCTTTAGAAGACGGTTACGATACCCAGTGCACATTTAGAGCATTCTAACATGACGGTAATCTAGTTTCATTTTAGACAAAAGATGGGATTGATATAACAGCTGGCTGAAAAACTCTGCTGAAGCCAACTGCCTCGGGGGAGCTGAATCCAGGGCAGTGCAAGCTTGGAGGTAGACAGAACAATACTTCAGTCTTCCCGTGTGCCTTCCAGCTACTGATCTTAAAAAGTTCCCTAGGCTAATGTATAGAACCTCACAACACTCCCTAAAATAATTGTCCATTTTAAAGCTGAGGCACAGAAAGTGTAAGTGATTTGCTAAGGTTATGCTGCAAGCCAGGGACTGAGCCACACACGTAACCTTTCTTGCACCACTCCCACCCCTGGGCTTCAATCACAGACATTCAGCAATTTGTATATTTGTATTAAGAGGCTCTTTGATCTGCATAGTAAAGGGGCAGCAATTGAACAAGGCCGTTTCTAGTCAAAGGAGACAGCAATTAAATTTAACAGAACCATTCCCCGGTATGAGCGGCGTCAGCTACGGAATCTGTGAAGCCGCCATGGTGGGAAAGATTTCTTTGTTCGTCTAATCCATCTCAGCACCAGGTTATTCCTTCGGCTAAGTTCTCGAGGGCTTTGCCCTGTCCAAGGGTAAGTGATTGAACCCACAGGGCACCTGCCAGGGAGGAGACTGTTCACTTAGCATCACCGAGCTCCATAGCACCCAGCCTGCATCAGCTACCATATAACATTTCAGTTGAGACATCAGCTTTGAGTCTTTACCTGCTTCTGCCGTGAGCCCCCAGTGGAATATGCAGCGTCTCCCTTCATCTAAAATAATAAATGATGCGAGTGAGTGAATGGGGAGCTGTAAAGAAAAGGGAGCGGGAGGAAAAGAGGGTAGGAAAGCAGCCCTAAAGGAAGTTTTCACATGTTATGATACAGCTCTCGCCCGGGGGCCTGACTGGTCTGGAATGTGCTGTGTTCAGGGGCTGGCCCAGGCCTTCGGGACAAAAAAAATCTGGTACAGCAGAGTAAATCACTGGGGTGAGGGATTACAATTATAAATCACCCTGTGCCCTTAAATTACAGCCCCTAGGGGCTTGTGCACCAAACACTGGGAACATGATAAGGGAGCTTTTCACCCTTAGGTCACTGCTTCAGATCCAGCCCAAGGAGAATGACTGAAAATTGTTACCATCTGCTGGCTCTTCAAATACCAGCAGGGCAGGTGTCAGCATCATAACCAGCCTGGCCCATGGCTCTAACCAGCCCAATGCTGACAGGCTCAGCAGAGAGGCCAAGGATTGAATAGAGCAAGAAAGTCTGAACTACCTTGTGCTCCTAGAGGTCAGGTTCTGGTGTGAAGAACCTTGTACTTCTGGTGCAAGTGCAGTGTCTACTGCAGGGCTAACCTGGGGCGTTTTCATTTCCTGGATGGCCAACCTTTCCCAGCAACAAATTTGCTTACACAAAATATTCCTTACAATTGATCTCACCTCAGCTTCACTGAGTCTTCATCAATGTTCAAATAAAAGACAATCTAACACTCAATACATAGAAGCCATGAGCCAGATTCTGCCCTTGGTTAAACCCTGCCCCCCCCCACCCCCGGGATATTAATGGGATTGCATGGCTGGAACAAAGGGCAGAATTTGACTCCTGGTCCTTTCAGAACTAAGCAATGTAGCCAAGAAAAAGGCCTTATTTTTTACTAGGTCTTCTGGTGGACCTTCCATTCTTTACTGTGGCAGAACCCCACTGCAGTCAAGTTCATGGGAGTTTTGCTGGACCTGCAAGGTTAGGGTCTGAGTGCACAGTAAACCCTGTAAACGGCATTCTCCAGAATACCGACACAAGCCACTAACAAAGAACGAAGCGGCATAGCTTTCTTTGTTTACGAGGCAAGAACGGCCAGTGCCTCAGTAGAAGATGCAACACAATGGTTAGTCTGTGTTCAGGGCCCAGCCAAAGTCACTGGTTTAGTACAGAGGGTTCTGTAGCGCCCCTCAGCTCAGCACTTTCGTTCCTAGATCTGGCCAGCCAAGTCCCATTAGCATAAGCAAGAGCAATACCCACCCCCCGAGATCCGCAGGGAGAGCTCTTCAGAGGGGAGCTCAGCTGGAATGGTCTGTCACACGATGACTCCTTTCCGGTAGGAGCAAACAGGCTATATTACATAGAGCACAGAATACTGACAAAATAAATAATTCACAAGGTGGTGGTGCATTACCTTTATGATGCTAATATTCCCTCTGGTGGGAGCTGCTTTTGTAGAGTTTCCGGGTGAAGGACCACACTGCCAACAAGCACAAAAATCAACCCGTTAGCTTGGTGACAACATGTCAGCTTTAAAATTGTAAATCTTAAATGCCTTTTTTTTTTTTGCCTCCTTAAAGCTTGTTAGTATTTCAGCTCAGAGGGTTTATAGTCCAAAATCAGACACTTCTCTGTCTGGGGTGTTATTTACCGACAGGTTAAAAAGGGAAGGGCTGATTCTCACAGCTGCTGCGTGCCCACAGCTCCCAATGGCTTCAGTGGGCGTTACAGGTGCCCAGCAGCACTGAAATCCAGCCCTAAATGACTTGCCCAGTGACTGTGGTGGGGGTGGGACCAGAATCCAGCAATTCTAATCTTAGCTGGAGCACAAGGGCAGGTGCTAGCTATGCGCAACATTAACAAACGTGGGGAACCAGCCGTTTTAAAACTCAGAATTGCAAACGGATTGAGCTAGCTCTGACGTGCTGACCCAAAAGAGCTATTGAAAGACCCGTCATAAGAGGAAGCTGTTTAGATTTTAAACTAGTGTCTTCATCCCGTTTGCTAGCCTCTTCCTCCTGAACTCAAACTCCCCACTCCCTCCTGAGCCATGGGGCGCGATTCTTTCCAATCTGCAAAATCTTCGACACGCTGTTTGTTTCCAACCTGGCAGCCTAGTTTGCTAGCTAGGGCTCTTCTGAAAAAAGAAAATGACTTTTGATTCTAATGGTTCTGATAAACACACTCAATGGTTGGTATCTCAGACTACCAAACAGAAGGATCCTGCTGTCTTGAGAATAACAAGTGTAAATATCTTTGTTGCAGGATCAAATTATCTTATTTTGCAAAAGGCCCTTTGCCCTCTGTAATGTACTTATCAAGCCACATTGCGCTGTTATGCTTCATCCAACTATAACCCCATTATCTCTGCGATGTTATCTATCTGCACAGCTGCACGCACTGGCCTTAGTGAAACAGATTGTACAATAAATAGCTTATGCTTAAAAAGGCAATTTCTTTTTGAGACTTCACCACTGTGCCATTTATACAAGAATCACAGAATATCAGGGACCTCAGGAGGTCATCTAGTCCAACCCCCTGCTCAAAGCAGGACTAATCCCCAGACAGATTTTTGCCCCAGATCCCTAAATGGCCCCCTCAAGGATTGAGCTCACAACCCTGATCAGCAGCTTCCCTTCATTTTGCAAGGCCTTGCAAAGAGCACCACAGAAGGCAAAGGGTAGCTGCTATCAGTCATCTGAGCTCAGCAGATACTGCAGCATTGGTTAGCCAAATCCAAACCCACTGCAGTGAAACCCACAGTAAACTCAAGCCAAGACTTAAATACACTGAACATTTCCTGAGCTCACCAGAGTGCACAGAGACGGCCCCTAGCCCCTCCAGAGCTGGCTAGCTTTCTTCTCACACCTTACACACAATATTGATCCACTCTTCATATGCCACTGGCCGGCACTGCCACAGCAAAAAGCATCTCCTAACCCCTAAGTCCCATGAAGCTGGATTTGCGACACCAATACAATCAGAGCAAAGAAAAGTGAGTGCACATCAGATTGTGGAGACAGTGGGACCAGTCTGTTGGGTGGAAAGAGCAGCAGAGAGACATAGGGCCTAGCAAAACAGGATCATCTCTGTGTCCAACTTACATCCATCAGATGGCAGGGTAGGTGGGCTGGGGAAACGGAGAAGTCAGTGCTTGGAGGGACTGAGGGAGCTAGTGTGCATAAGGCATCCGTTATGGTCAACGGGGCACGTGTTGTTCACCAAACATATCCTGCCCCCCGCCCCTTGTTGCATCTGAGCCTCATTCCCTCCCGGGGAACAGCCCCCCCCCCCCCCCCGTCATGTCTGCGCAGCATAAGGAAAAAGCTGGGGACTGGTCTCGCAGAGCTGCAGCCACTCCTGCAGCTGGAGGCGGCCATGGCGGAGAAGAGGGGATGGGGGGGGTCCCATCCCTCATTTGGACTGTCTATCAGTCAGATGCGCAGGTGCCAGCCCAGGGAAGGGGCAGCTCCCAGGTAGCGCAAGACAGAATGTGTCATCCTTATTTAATTTAGCTGAACCTTTGCAGAGCCCAGGTGGCAGCACACGGAGGGAGGCCTGGGGAGTGCCTTGATGTGGAAAGTCACTCCTGCAAAGTCAAAGCTGTGCATTTAATACTCTAACATGCTGGGCTAAAGAATCAGAATCCTCTCCCAGCCAGTGACACTGATGGCTCAGCCAGGGGGACCAGATGTCCCTATCCAGTCTCTCTTAGCCCAATAGCCAACTCTCCAGCTGTTGACGCTCCCCAGGACACCCTTCAGGAGTGGCTTCTTGGAATTCCCATCTCCAGATTCGAACCGTCTTGTGCCTTTTCTCCCATCGTATCCACCCACATTCACAACAGAACTGCCCCCAACTGCAGCATATGTTACTCTTGCCTAGTCACTGGGCATAGACCCAACGCTGAAATCACGCCAGGCAAAAGGAGATGCCCAGCTGGCTCTGGACGTCTGGTCATGCAATGCCAAGTTCTGGTGCGCAGAGAGTAGCCCTCAGCCGCTGATTAATTCAGGCAGACTCAGTCTTCGGGACAGCTGGACTCAGCCCCTTATCTTCGCAGACAGTTGGCTTTTCTTCCTTGTACATCTGTCAAGCCCTCTTGAACAGAGTGACCTATGCTCAGCCCTGGAGAGCGTCCATGTCTTTCCCGTCACGGACGCTCTCTGGCATGTATTTATGTGGTGGTTTGAGGGCCTCCATCAGCTGGGTGTTGTGATGCATCAGCTTGCCCTTCATGTACCCCATGATCTCAGTGAGCTGGGCAGTCAGGGTATAGCGCTGCAGGATTGTCCATCACAGACATCCCTGATTCCATCCAGAAGATCACAAGGAACTACTGGATGTTCTTCACACCGTGCATCTGGCTCACGCTCCCCTGGCACTTAGCCTTGCTGTGCTAGCACTCAAATTGCTGCTTCCTGACGCTGTTCTTCTCCTGGGGTTGCCAGCTGGCACCAGCATGACGCTCTTGTTGCGGCGCAGCATCACGCAGGTGGGGAAGAGCTGGGCGGCCAGGAAGCCAGGGCAGGCCAGGCACAGGCTGGGCGACACTAGCTGGCAAACTATAGCATCACTGACACGTTTTCAAAAACGTATTTTATCAGTTTGAGTCCGCCCCCCGCCGCCCAACTTACTGTTCCCAACCTTGGTTCCAACCTGCGGCTAAACAGCTGCCCTCTTCTAATTACCCTGAGCCTGCAATTCAGCCCTCTTTGCAGACACCAACTGGAGACCCAGCTGCTGCCGGCAGGTGCAGGAGCTGAATAACTGCGCATGCCTGTGGCAATGGATTCACTCCATAACACGGCTCCTTTCCCTCAGCCCTCTCTCCTGACCCCTCTGGCATCAACACAGGCCGAGAGTCAGCTGCTGGAACCACAATCTCACCTGCGAAAAGAGACAACTACTATCTGTGACACCACAGGAGGCAGCTATAGACTGGCCACCTGGGGGAACCACAGACCTGAGAAAAACACCAAAAGAGGTGCTCAGTAGACACCCTCTCTCGCAGGGTAGGTACAGAGCTAGCTTCTGGGGCTGCTCACTGTGTGCCAGGCACTGCCCAAACAGGATGGCAGACACGGTCCCCACTCTGAAAATCCTGAATTTTTTTTCTTTTTAATAAATGCATTCATAGAACTAACAACAGGCTGTAAGTCTCTTAATGGAGTTGCCATCCCTAGCGTTTCCATCAGGTACCTCTAAACCACTGTGCCCCAGAGTGCTGGTTGCTCCCTCTTTGCTCACCTCCTGCTGGCTGCAGCCTAGAAGGGGGCCCTGGGTCGCTGGCCAGACCCCAATCCAGAACTCAATTCCCTGCTTTCCACTGCTGCTGTCGGTCCCTTTATCACATCCTCAGGCAAAGGAGGAGGGAGGTGTGTCTATAAGTGAGCAGCTGATTGTCTCCTCCCAGGCAGGTCATGTGAAGCCAGCATTAGGCCATTACCGGTGCTGGCAACTGTTACGCCCTTTCACTCAGACAGTTGAAAGAGAAAGAGAGAGACAGGGTGTGTGTGATTGAAAGAGAGAGAGAGAGAGTGTGTGTGTGTGTGTGTGTGTGTGTGTGTGTGTGTGTGTGATTGAGAGGAGCATGTTCTTCAAGGAGTTTATTTTTGCTGTAAAAGTAATTTAGCTACATCATTAAAAATCTTTTCACTTTTGTTTTCATAAGTTAGAATCATAGACTCAGGGTTGGAAGGGATCTCAGGAGGTATCCAGTCCAACCCCCAAGTTACACATAAATAAGTTTCAGAGGGGTAGCGGTGTTAGTCTGAATCTGTAAAAAGCAACAGAGGGTCCTGTGGCACCTTTGAGACTAACAGAAGTATTGGGAGCATAAGCTTTCGTGGGTAAGAACCTCACTTCTTCAGATGCAAGCCTGAAGAAGTGAGGTTCTTACCCACGAAAGCTTATGCTCCCAATACTTCTGTTAGTCTCAAAGGTGCCACAGGACCCTCTGTTGCGATAAATAAGTTTGTAGATTATGCATATTGCCCCCATCCAGTGCCCTGAGCACAAATATTTAAAACCAGTGCAATTCAAGAGGTCAAAAGTGTATTTATTGGGACCAGGGAGTAGGGTGATCAGATGTCCCGATTTTATAGGGACAGTCCCGATTTTTGGGTCTTTTTCTTATATAGGCTCCTATTACCCCCCACCCCCGTCCCAATTTTTCACATTTGCTGTCTGGTCACCCTACCACGGAGAGTTATTGGGCAATACTGCTTAAGTCCTTGGCCCCCTGTCTTCATTACAAGTCTGACTTGTAGGGCAGGGATGGTGTCCCTAGCCTCTGTTTGCCAGAAGCTGGGAATGGGCAACAGGGAAAGGATCACTTGTTGATTACCTGTTCTGTTTATTCCCTCTGGGGCGCCTGGCATTGGCCACTGTCAGAAGATAGGATACTGGGCTAGCTGGACCTTTGCTCTGCCCCAGTATGGTTATTTTTATGTTCTTATGACTGCTTGCTCACATTGCATAAGCAGGACTAGAGAACAATGACTTAAAAGGGCTATAGCATGATATCGGTCCTATCTATGTAGAAAAGATTCAATTGGGATTCCCTCGTGCTTAACAATAGTATTTACACGTAGCGAAGTCTGTCGTGTACATGAGAGCACTGGGTAGTGCAGGGCTGCTAAGAAGTAACTTGTGGCAGCCCTCACTTTTAGTATGCAGGTGTGGCCCCAGAAAATGCGACTTATTCCAGCAGATAGTGTGGCAGCTGATCCAAGCTCCAGGAGAGGTGCTGTTATCCATCACCACTTTCTGGCTTTACTATCTGAGGAAGAAACAGAGACACCACAACACACTTCCACTTAGCCCTGCCAGGTCTGCAAGGCAAGTAAGCGGAGTCTCGGTTAATGGTGGCTAGAGCTCAGAGAGATCCACCAGTATGAGAATCACAAATGTCCCAAGGTCTGTGGCTAATACTCTGTACTCATAACTCCATTCCCACGTTCCCTCCAGAGGGCCACTTGGTCCCTCGGGCACTTGCTGTGACTTTATTTCAGAGCTAAACTGCTGCTACATTTCAGTAACATTTTCTCCTGACTGACACTAACTTCTCTGTGGTGGGGCGGGGCTCTTTCCTTTTTGTTGTTTTCTGGAGCCTCAGACTCAAGGGGAAGCGATGCCGCATTTCGCAAGCAGAAACACAGCACAGAGAATGGAAATACCCAGACTGAGTGAGGACAGAGTCACTGAGCGGAGCTTCATTCTGACTGGTTCTTGTAGTGGGAGGGTTATCCTGCAGGCATGAAAAAGTAGGTGAAAGACCATTGGAATCTCACCAAATTCCAGACTCTGGTGTTTTCCTTTAACTGACACTTAAATAAGAACTTGTTTGCGACTGAATCACTCTCCCAATAGAGCACTGGATGGCACAGGGGGTTGGTAATGGGCTAGATAAGGACTTTTCACTTTCCAAGTTGCTAGTTTGAATCCAATCCAGGTTGACAGTAACCAAAAGCATCTCCTATTTCTTGGCTATGCAGTGTCCCATCTGAAATGAGTTTGGTTCCCAGTGGATGGGTATCCACATCACAAAAAATCACCATTGCTCCTGAAAATAGGGTGACCAGACAGCGTTCTTCACAGCACCTTGCCCATGGGGCCAGATGAGGAGGCACAGGATGGGGTGGGGTGGTGGGGAGGAATAGACAGAACAGGGCACACAGGGCTGCTGGAAGGGGATCACATAGACTGGGGTTCAAAAGAGCTA